AAAGCCGCGTCTCGGGAGCGGCGCGCCGACTCACTCCAGCTGGAGAATCTGGCCCCGAAACCCTCCCCCTTTTTGCCTTCCACGATGCTAAAAGAAATTTAAAAAAAATAAAGAAAACCCAGCATAAATTAGTCAATGAGAGAGAGAGATGGAATGGGAGAGGCATAAGAAAAATAAACTGCACACTTTCCACACAAAAAGAACAGTTTACATGTACAAAGAGAGACACGGTGGTGCTTTGTTGGGTTTTCTAGGCGTACATTTGAACATCCAGGTGGGAGGTTTGCGTGAGGGGCCCTGCTGCGCTCAACGGGCCGAATATCAACAGCACGTGAACCTCCCTCTCTTTCTTCCCAGGGCCGTTACCGTCACTGCTCTTCCGCTATCAATACGTGTCAGCAGGATGTTCAAAAACTACTTCAAAGGTCGTAATGAACACAAAGAAATGAGAACATCATCGCTAAATATCAATTTCAAGGTACGAAGAATTTCACCGAGATCTTTTAATAAAAAAAAAAAGTCAGCATTTTTCTGACAATTTCAGTTGAACGCTCTTGGTTTTGCCACCAGCGCATCCTTAACGAGAAACATGGATACGGGGGTGTTTCTCTTTGTGACCGATAACCACTTCTCCGACGTCCTCGACCTGCTGCGACTCAAACGCTGCCGCTCTTCACAGTATTTGTGTTACGTACAGGGGCACATCCTCATCGGAACTATTGGGCAGGAGAAGGTAGATATGAGAAGATGTAAAAGAAAAAAATATGTATCGATGCCCAGATGATCAAACTGAATGCTCTAAGTAGCTGGGAAGACTTTGAACTACGGATTCATTCGGCAATAATAGAGCACGAACCTTTTCGTGGGCTTTTGATTTTCAGTTTCCTCAGTAGCATGTCAACTTTTCCTAACACATCTGCTACTCTTTTATCTCCAAGAGAGCTCTCTCAGATTCCCTAATTAATACACCTGGACTTTACTTATATGCTGCACCTTTATTATGTTCCACACGACTTCCCAAAAGGTAGGAAGCATTACCTCTGAGTTCGCTTTGCTGGGCAGCGCTTATTTACGGTTACGTTATAAGCGGTTATCGTCCTTCCCCGACCTCCGAAGCGTCCCAGTCCCTACGCTTACGATAGGGCACTTGCTCGGAAATGCGTGCGTCTCCCTAGGAGCAGCGGAGACCAAACCAGCTAAAGCGCAGCAGAACCAGGGGAAGAAAG